ATATTGCTGCAAATTTCGGGTACTAAGGGCACAAAACAATCCACTTCTTTCTATATTAAAAGCGTACAGGAAGAAAACGGATCAAAAGTGGGAAACTCTGGCCAATATACTATCAGAACACTGGCACTAGCGATATGTGATGAATTTGCAATGACAAAATTTGTAATGCTTAATAATAAGTATATCTGTATAGATAAAGTGAATTTCTGTATACTTGTTTTCTACTCTTTTGGCTTAAATCTGTCTAATTTCAGTTAATTCCCAGCTCATTTCATTTTATAAATCTGACTTTCTATGTGTAATTTTTTATAAGCTTTTCTTATTTCGTCAAGTTTTTTAAATGCCACCCTGTTTTTTAAAAAATATTCGTCACAACAATCTACCTTTTTTATTTTCCTTCTCTCATTACCACCTCGGACTTTGAGCAGCCACCGTCCCATCCCTGCATATTCTTATTGCATGTATAGTTGGTGCGACCCCTGCCGCCTAATACCCCTCGCTGATTTGGCCGCTGTTGCGGCCCCTTCTTACTGTTTTCTTCACAGGGCCTTTTAGGCCCGTACTGCCTTTTGTGTTACAATAATGGCGAATGCAGTAATATAAAATTATAGCACAATAAGTATGCTGAATATCACAATTTAAATCATACCCTTATAAATAAATTGAAGTTATTCTTAACCCAAAACTGACCGGTATTTAAAAGGCTTTAATACATGCGCTCCAAATCACTTTTACTTCTTATTTCGTATTTATGGCAGTAATAAATGGCATTTTTCAATACAGTATAAGTTGGCGGAAAAAATCGCTTTCAGTTTAATCAAAAAAAAAAAAAAAAAACTGGTGTATTACGAAATGGACGAGGCTTTGAAATTTCCTAGTGATATTCTTCTTTTTCCACCACTTCCCCTCCCCCACCCCCTTGCTTTTTCTTCTTGTTCACGGCTCCCTTAATTCCCCAATCCGCTAAAAAATGCGGCGCACTGCTCCAGAGAAAAATGCTGCAAATTTATCCTCAATTAAAAACCCCAAAAGTTCGAAAACTCACTGGAACAACCAATTCTTCGAGAATTACACGAACTTGCTCTCGCTCAGAAACCGTTTCATCTTTTGAATTTAGATAATTCCGTAAAATTGCTGTATTTTCCGCATTCACAGAAACATCAACGGTCCGTTCGATATACTTCGCCTAAAAATGAAAGCATTTTTCTCATTTCTCACACAAAAAAATACAAAATTTCCATTATTTTTCTTACAAAACACTTTTCAGAACATTGTTCCTTCTCACTGTGATGTACAGTGTCCCACAGAATAAAAGCCCGTAATACTAAATATTCTAAGTGATAATTTTTACTGACGGTTCACTTTCCCTCTATACAAGTAGCTCAATTCTCTTAACTGATTATTCGTAAGGTCCAATTCTTCCCTATATCTTCCAAAAAGTCTCTAAGGCCTGGCTTATGCCCTGCAGCATACGCACATATACAAAATTCCATCTCTCTCTTCTTTCACCATCAATAACATCAAACATTTTTTCTAATTTCTCAAGCAAATCGGCAATACGCTGACGCTCACAACCCAAAAATTATCTAGTTTTTTTTGCAATTAAATTCTTACCGTATCGATATCGACGTGCATTCGACTCAGAAAGTTCCTTATGATATGTTTCAGCGTTGGATCATGCGTGTAATACTTTCCTGTATGGCTTAGCGCAGAAGTTTCTTTCTAAAACAGATTGTTAGAATTGTATAAGCAGAGAAAATGCATTTAAGATGTTTTACATGAATTTCTTGCCGTCACGTGCAGTATAAATATGCCAAGAATAGCACTGGCTCGTACCACCCAAGCTTAGTCAGGCAAACGCGGCGCAGTGTCTTCTCGACATGCTTGAAGCTGTCACATTTGTATTCTGTCACTTCTCCGATACTACTAAACTAATTATGCGTTATGTGCTGTGTAACAGCATTACAAAACGCATATTGTCACGGGGTTGTCTGTGTGTGTGTGTGTGTGTACCACATTTTGTCCCGCACTTTCAACTCGGGAACCACAAAAGCTAGGCGGCTGAAATTTGGTATAGCGTTCCCCGCCAGCGAGTGACGCGGCACATTTAAATTCAGCCTTCCCGTACCCGCGGGTAACACTACGGCCCCGAAAAAGTTTGTGCGGATAAGATTATTATCACAGGAACCACTGAAACTAAAAGGCTGAAGTTTTGTGGGCATTTCCCCGCCCATGTGCTATCTAGAAAATTTAAATTTAGCTTCCTCC